ACGGCTTTGTGTGCTGAGCAACCCCAAAGACCTCACATTAGGATGGGTTTTGGGTCAGCGGATTCACCTATCGGCATTGGTTCGCCGCTGACGGAGCCCCAGGATTTGTCGGTCATGACAGCTTTGTTTTGACCGGGCTCTTCCTTATTTGGATGGAAATTGGTCTTCGCGATCTGCCGAAGTGTGGATCTTGGTTCCGACGGCCGGTTCCCTTCACATTGCCACCCTCATGTGCCATTAAACATGATGCGGATTTCTATATTCCCGTCATTGGTATGACTTTACAACGATGGGACCGTTTGGGCTGAAAATTTGCATAACTATAGTTTCTTATTTTTCATAATTTCCGTGTAAATTTCGTTGTATGTTTTAATTATGGATCCTTCGTAAACATCGTTTTTTCCCTGAGCTTGGACTTTTGATGTCGCTATTCCCGTTATTGGATATCTCATTAATGCGTGATCCTTTTATTATGAAAATTTGGGTGGATTAAGATTAGATCCCTTCCTTTCTAATGGGCTATCAAGCTCGTCTCGGTCGTTACTGGTTATTCTTCGTGCTTGCGTTTTAAGCGTTGTCCTCGTTTTGCAGGAGTTTTAGTCATATCTCCGTCGTTTATGGATAGTTTTCCCTGTGATTACTTTCATTGGGTCCGTTTGGGGGACATCTACATTTCCTATTATAAACACGACTTTGAATTTTGCATTAGTTCCTGAGGAATCCTTGTTCCGTGGTACTTCCATCCTTGGCTACGTGTGTGGACGTGGGAAAGTAGTTTCTGTGGAGGTTCTCTGATTGTTTCTATAGTCAAATCTTTGTCGATTGTCCTAATTCTTTCTTTAATATTTGGTATAAATTCCCCCGAGAATTCCGTCTTGTTGATGCTAAGCTTGAAGTATTTTTGCTAATTTTCTTTCTTTCAATTTATCGCGTATAGTCATAATAATTCGTAAAAATTCGTAAAAATTCATTAAAATTCAGGTCCTTCTATTTTCTCATATCTACTTGTCGTATGGGGTTTTTTGATTTATCTGATGGGTTTCCATAGTGTGACCGTTATTTCTCCTACACCGCAGTGCACGTAAGCCAGCAATGCCAAAGTTTCATTGAGTTATTGCAAAAAAGAGGAGAAAAAACGCATCTTCAACACAAGAGAGTGAAAGAACCCCAGGGGTAACACCTGAAGTAGCAGTATCCCCACCTGCTATCTACATCCTCTCTAAGCAGTCCCCCAGGTCCCTCAGCCTCACTGTGAAGCTGACCACCCTGACCTCCCTCGCTTCTGTGTCCATGTCAGTGCTCCTAGACTCAGGAGCCACTGGGAACTTTGTAAGCCCTGAGTTCATCTGGAAGCACAACCTTGAGACAACCCAGCTCCCTCAGCCCATCCCTGTCTGCAATGTCGATGGGACCCCTAACGAGAACAGAGCCATAACTGAGGAACTGGAGGCTCTCCTGATGTTTGGGCAGCACACAGAGCAGGCCCGGTTCACAGTTGAAAACCTTGGGTGACAGTCCCTCATCATAGGGCATTTGTGGCTGTTTGTCAGGGATCAGCAATGACCCTGGACCCTATGCCGGCTGCGCGTATGCGCGTGGGAAGTATGCCGGTAATTCCCGTCTACTCCGCTTACCTAAGCCCCGGTGACCCGGATCATCTCCGGCATTGTTCTGGAACATTCTATGATCACGTGATTCTATCGGCAATCCGTTTGGTTTCCTTATTGCCGGACTCTACATGTATATAGCTGACCCTAAGATGGGGACATCCCTTTCCCCCGGCTTTAATCACAACTAGGTTATCGGAGCATCTTGCGCGAGCACGCGCGTCCCCTGACACTGTTGCACCACAACCCAGAGGTGGACTGGGCATGACAGAGAGTCACCATGTCTCACTGTCCATCCTCCTGCAAGCTGTTACAGGCACAGGGTGACCCAGACCTCACCCTAGAGCCCAGGGATGGGATCTATGCTGCGATCATCCCCCCAGGGTGGGGGCATGACCTGAGAGTGACCATGATGTTGTAGGCAGGATAACCTACTATACTCCACACTGCCAGTATTTTTGTGGTTTACATTCATTAAGGGTTCCCTGCATGCAAAGATCACCTACCAATGCTACCAAAGCCCATGGTGCATAAAAACATCTTATTATGGAGTACAATTGCACATAACATGCTGGTACTGAATTGGTCCAGCCCAAAAACTACACTTGGCACTACTGGCTGCTGAGAGACGATCAAGGGCTCAGAAAATTATAAACATGGACTCCCCCAATGAGAAGGGACACCCCCACCAAGTAACAAGTTGTTTGATAAGTTTAGTGATGCCAGAGGGCGATGTATGAGTTTATACAGTACCTCAGCTTCCTGACGACTGTCCAAGAAGGACCAGGAGTGAGTACTGCTTTAGTGAGATTTTATTGATTGTTTTCTAGCACCCAGACCATGGCGCAGTATTGGCACTGTTGCTGGCATCCATCCTTTCCCTCCTTCCAACCTGACTCAGAGACTACCTGTCAGAGACTGGATTATTGTCGGAGTCGGAATACTGTCAGAGATCTGGGATGCTGTCAGAGACTGGGAATATTGTTGGAGTCTGGCAGACTGTCAGAAGACAGATAGACGACAGATTGGGTTCTGTCTGAGTTGAGGTCGGAGGTGATGCAGAGGTCTGTTGGAGCGCGCGCGCGGATATGCGGGCGGAAATATGCGGCGCGTCCGGAAGTGCTGTTCAAGGTTAGCAGAGTGGGATCGCGGCCTCAGCGACTCAGGTGGAGCGCTGTGCCCTGAGCTTGACGTTTGGGGGAGATCCCATATTTACGGACTGACACTTACAGCGGACTTCAAACAAGACTTGCGGGCGGAGCGGACCTATAGGAGGAGCGCGGACTCCGCGAGCACAGACTCAGAGGGGGGAAGCCCCCTTTGCAGAAGGAGAGACTCAGACCAGACAGGGGGGTACTCTAGTTGATTTCAGACTAAGGTCCCCAAAAGTATTTACAGGATATAAATAGGCAGGAGGGAAACACAGAAGGACCGGTCAGTCCGGCGTGGTCCGGCGCGGAAATAAGCGGGGATTGTCAAACTGAATGAAGGACAAGAGCCCAGGAAATGGGAGGCAATGAACTAAACAAAAGCGGATCAAGTGCCAATATTGACAGGTAATAAGAAGTGCATCAGCACATGGATCAAGTGCCAATATTGGCAAGCTAAGCGAATGAATGGATGAACAATATAGGCACTCGGCAAGGAATGAATGGTATGCTGCCGAGTGACAAGATGGCCAGAGGAAAGCGGAGGTCAGCGCGCAGCGCCGATACAAGTCCGCAAATAAGCGGGGTCAGTGCAGTGCCGACACAAGTCCGTGAAGGGACATGGAAATCAGCGCAGTGCTGACAAGTCCACAACAGAGGGTGGTCCGTCAGTGCTGTCACAAACAAGGGCAGCATGATGGCCAGCAAGGTCGGAGGGGAGTGTTGGCCTGACCACAGGGTGTGGAGGGCAACCAGGAGTGGCAGAGGTCCAGATGCGGGCAGAAGTCCAGATGCGGGTGGAGGTCTGGATGCAGTGCATGGTTGATAGGGCAGGGGGCCAGACATCGGATTGGGGGCTGGTTAGATTGGGTTTCAGGTCGGCGGATTCGCCTATCGGCATTGATTCGCCGCTGATGGAGCCCCAGGATTTGTCAGGCGTGACACTACCCCCAGGTCCCTACTCTCTTGCCTGGGCAGCCTTCTTGCCCGGTTACATTATTGGTGGTCCTTACAGGGGGAGGAGTCATTTTATTTGTTCAAGAACATCCTATTCCCAAATATCATTCCTCCACACCACTCATACACATCTCTCACACATGTACGGCTATTGATTGAGCCAAAGATTCAAGTCAGCCAGAAGAAACTTCATATTTTCACTGCACAACACTATATACAAGTTCAAGTTTGCAAGACTAGAGAAGATGTCTCACACTGGCAGTGCACCAGCACCCCCTCCAATTAACCTAGCTGCAGCCCCTGTTGCCCAAGCTGCTATGTCGGCAATTAGCCATATGCCTGGTTCCTGTTCCAGGGATGCACCAAGGTTTAAGGGCCATAAGCTCAAGAAGTTCTTATTTGACTTCGAGCTTCACGCCAACATGGCATGCCTCTCAGATGGAGAGAGATGTGAGTATGTAGTATCCTACTGCTCTGAAAAGGAAGCCAAGTTCATCAGAATGTTGGATGGCTTTGAGAACAGAGACTGGAATATGTTGAAAACAGATCTCAAAAATTATTACCCTGCCAATCAAGAAGATTGTGTGTACCATACCAAGGACTTGTGGCACCTTGTCAATAAAGACCGCAAAATAAAATGTCATAAAGACTTTGACACATACCATCGCAAGTTCAGGCTCATAACAAAGTCCCTGGAAGCTGTCAGAGACCGGATTCGAGACGAGGGAGTGTCTCCGTAGCGGAGGGCTTTGGCCTCAGCGACTTCTGCCAAGAGCGCTGTGCCTAGTGACACGTCCATGCCCTAACTTACTGACTGGCAATCAGAACCGAAGGGGGGTAACTCTAGTTGATTTTATTACTGGGGTGTAACCTATGTACAAGTGGGATATATATATGGTTACAGCGAAGATGGGTCCGCAATTGGCGGAGCCGAACGGAGCGGAGCTAACGGGGTTTAAACATTAGCCGACTGAATATTACCGACGAGTCGGTTCGCGTTAGCGGAAAGGCAGGCGATAACCCAGAAACGGAAAGGAGGGATAGGCCCGAAGGTGGGCTCTGCAGGGCAGGCGAGTGTATTGCCCAGCGGAGGCGGGGGTGCACTAGCGGACGTCGGAGCTGTCTGGAAGTCTTCGGGGCTCCGTACTTAGGGAGGCGTAGGTAATGAGGGGGTGGTGGCCATCGAGGGGTACCGAGAGGATTGCGGAATATGGGAGCTCCAAGGTTAGTGAGGGAGGAGCGGAGTTAGACCGGAGGGATCGGAGGGACCAGAAGTCGATGGCCGGGGATGGATATGACAGAAGCCAGGCATGCCTTGAATGCGAATGACAAAGATGATTATTTTTATTGTGGTATCAAACCCACGAAGTTTTGTGGTAAAGTCAAGCATGAGCTTAAAGCTCACAACCATTGGAGGGACCTCACAGTTCCCCCGGACATGACACAAGTAGTTCTGACCATAAAGGAACTATTGAAGCATGACCTATACCATGCTGACAAGTCAGACAAGGATTCGGATTCAGACAGTGACAGATCATCTGGAGATTCTTCAGATGACAAAGGGGACTCCGATAAGGATACCTCCTCAGATGAGTCTTTGGATTCCGAAGAAGACCAACTGGCTCCGTGCCATAAAAGTTCTAAGTTGTCTAAGAAAATGAAATCCCATAAGAAAGCCAAGCATGGGTCTTCTGAAACCCACAAAGAAGTTGGGGTAGCCACGGTGCCCAAGCCTGAACCCAAACAAGAGACTGCAGACCATGTTCAGAAGGCCAATGTGGATGATTTGGCCGATAGACTTAGCAAACTCAGTATCAACGTTGCCAGATTAATGGAAAAACCCAAGTATGGCCAATATAATACTGGACGGTGCTTCATGTGCCTCTCTGAAGGTCATGGTTTCAAAGGTTGCCCTGAGACCAAAGCATTTGTAGTGGCCAGCATAATCAGATATGATGCCTCAAACAGATTAGTTATGTCTGATGGTAGCCCGCTTCCTCGTTCAATGGATGGAAGTCCATTAGTGCATTTAATCCACGAAAGAGCTAATATGCATAGTGCAGCCACTCTGGAGTGGATGTGCAATTATGAGCTTGCCAATAGAGAATTTGCTACCCTTGGTGAAGGGGAATTTGAAGTCTACCCAGCATATGCATGCCCAGTGGAGTGTGGTGACAGTGATAAGCCCAAAGCATCCAAGTCCAAGCTGTATGATTGGCCACCTTCGCCAATGAGGCATACCATGCTGCCAGAGGAGGTGAATACTGTACCAGCCCCCAATTGGGCTTATGTTGAGATACCCCCGCCACCCAGGATTCTGAAGCAGCCACTGATGCCACAGGAAGACAAGCTGATGATGGACAGAGAGTTCATCCCTAGAGAAAAAGGGAAACAAAGAGCTGCTCCCTCCACATCCCGTCCCTCTGCACCACACAGTGTGCCAAAGTCCAATACCACACGTAATAAAGTCACCTTCGAGGAACCTAAGATACCAGATTCTCCAAAGACCCCAGCATATAAGCAGAGGGCCCCACCAGCCTACAAGTTTGCCTCTGAGTTACAGGAGAGGTTGAACTCTGAGAAAGTTTTTGAGAAATTATTGTCTCAAGAAATTTCCCTGCCATTAGGATTAATCTTAGGATCGTCTTTTGAGCTTACAGCCGATTCCAAAAAAATCGGCCATTTTGATTTCATCAAAAGAGATCTAGGAGGGTTCTTCCTTCCTAAAAAAGTTGGCTGAATCATGCCCCACAAAAGGGGTTTCCTTACTTGGATGGATCCGCTTAGCGCTGGGGTCTTTGGTCTCACTTGTGTGCGACACTATGGCAAGCTTGGGTTTCCGGACTCACCCACATTCAATTACAATATCCTCAAATTCAAGCTATGGAATTTCAGCATAGGACCACACACATGGTCGGTCCTATGATACCCAACAAAGCCAATGTATTCATCAATGATTGTGCCCTCAAAGGTCCCAAGAGTTACTATGGTCATGGGACTATAGGAGAAAATGCACACATTGCAAGCGGGGAGGAAGGCTGGACCACAGTCAAGGGTCGCGTCGCCACTCTATCAGCTGCTCCCTCACCAAAGGGAAAGAAGAAAAGGGGGGGGAGTGGAAAGGGCACCTAGGGTTTCGGACTCACTGTGACCCCGGTCCTGACTAACTCAGCCTAAAAACTTCAACACTAGGTGGACCTCCCTGGAAGACAAGCTAGCAGTACTGCCTGCGAAGCACTGTCCCCAAGATGACAAGCACTCAAACACCACCCCAGGCACACGGACCTGGTACTTAGCAGAGCAGAGGGGAGAATCTCTGTATCATACTAGATACATGTTGTATATAAACCATGGTCATCCGAACTAAAGTCCGAGCAATCCAACGGTGTTAGGGACGGACAGAAACAGACAGAACATCATAGGACAAAGAAAACAACAGAAAACATAACAAATATATAGGAATGGCCACACAATCGATAAATTCCGACGATCTCCACAACGGCTGCACCAAATCTCCCGATATTGAACTCGTTCTACTTGTCTTGATAGTAGCCTTCCAACGATACCAAGTGCGTCCGGATCGGAGAAGAACTGGGGGAGGTATGGCGAAAATACTGGGAAAGCGGCCCGATATGGAAACTAAGTGGCCATAACCTGGTCTGGAAAAATATCAAAAAATACGAAGATGATAGGGGAGGTTCAACGAGCTTTGGGGGACTGGGGGACTGTGTGTCAGGCGCTAGGTAACGTCTGTAGGCCATGATATAGCGGTGTCAGGGTACTACTGGCTTTTCCCTCCTTCAATGTCAGGTGCTTCATATGGGAATATGCCCATAATCTCCAAGAATTATTAGCTAGAATACAGGAAAGTGGCATGACTGTTTCAGGGACCAAGATGATCCTGGCCATGCCACAATTGTCCATGTTAGGAGTGGGAGTCTCCATAGAGGGCATGCATACTTCACATGAAGTAACTGCGAAAATATCTAAGTGGCCGTCTTGTAAAAATCCCTCTGAAGTAAGGGGATTCCTAGGGACTGTAGGTGTAGTGCGAAGGTGGATTAAGGACTTCGCTAAAATCGCTAAGCCACTCACCCAGTTAACTAAGAAAATGGTGCTGCATGAATTCAAGTGGATGCCTGAATCTGAAGAAGGGATGGCAAGGCTTAAGGAACCAGCTGCCAATGCATCCCCAATTGATTCCCTCGATTTCACACTAGCTGCCCAAGTGAAGCCAAAGAACCAGCATGAGAATGACTTAGGGCTGGTGACCATCCAAGTAGATTCCTCAGTTGTAGGGGTTGGGTGGGTCATTAACCAGACCTATGAGGATGGAATATACCCCATTATATTTGGGTCCATCACCTTTAATAACGTGGAAAGCCACTACTCCCAGCCCAAGCTGGAATTGTATGGAGTGCTGCATGCCTTCAAGGCAGAGAAACACTGCCTGTATAATATCCACTTTACACTCCAAGTGGACACAATTGCACTTGTGCAAATGATTAATTCTCCCAATTTACCGAATGCAGCCATGACCTGCTGGATTACATACATTTTGTTGTTTAGCTTCAACATAGAGCACAATCCTGCTGTGAGACACAAGGCACCCGATGGATTGTCAAGGCACAGGAGGTCAGAAGATGATTCCAACCATAGTGACAGGGAAATTGATGTCGAAGAAGGTGTCAAGCTCGTTAGACCGTGCCTAGAGCCCACCCATAGTGATGGAATCGGGGAAATTAGCACAGCTGAGTATTATGCCCAAGAATGTGATCCCCAAGAGGAGTCCAAAATAAACAATATCAAATTATATCGCCACATGGGCGAGTGCACACCATTAGAAGTTCGCTGGAAAGAGCCAGTGCACATTAAACCTATCCTGAGTGGACCATTCAACATGTGTGAAGGTGAAATACTCGAAAAAGAGTGTCCAGATCATAGCCAATCAGCCAAGCATCCTCACCATGTAGATGAGTATGACTCAGAGGAATATTGGAGGGCGATTCTTTCCTTCCTGACCTCAGGTATGCTGCTGTCAGATAAGAACGAAGCAGCATGGCTGCTTCATAAAGCCAAACAATTCCTATTGTATGAAGGAATTTTATGGAAAAGGAACCAAGATAAACCTATGCTACAGGTTGTACTTAGTGAGCCAATCCACCAGAGGATAGTTAGAGATGCCCATGATGGTAGTGGCCATCGAGGCAGGGATCCTACCTTCAGGAAAATTCAGGATTCCTATTGGTTCCCAAACATGTACCGATATGTTACAGAATATTGCCGGACATGTCACAAATGTCAGTTGCGCTCTATGTGCAGAAATACAATCCCCATCCAGCCTCAATATGTGAGGACTCTACTTAGATGATTTGATGCAGATACTGTCGCAATGCCTAGAGGCAAAGGAGGCTACAAATACTTAGTGGACCTCACAGATAATCTCACTGGCTGGACCGAAGCCAAAGCATTGAAAAATATCAAATCAGAGGCCATTGCCAAATTTTTATTCAAGGTAATGTGCCAATACAGATGCATAGTTCAACTTACAGTTGACAACGGCACGGAATTTTATGGCACCATGCAAATACTTTTGGACAAATATAACGTACCAATTGTTAGAACTACTCCATATAACCCTGCACCTGGAAAAATTGAACATGGCCATAGTGTATGGATAGAGAGTATTTGGAAAGTCCTTAAGGGATGAACCAATGAGTGGCCGGATTGGGTTGGATATGCCTTATGGGCAGACTGCGTTGCAAGCAGGAATTGGCTAAGGGACCAGAAAACAGGGGGTAGCACTCCAGCTCACTCCCCAAGAGCTAGGGAAGAAAGAGTAAGGGGGCTGAAAGGGTGTTGCAGTAAGAACAGGTCCATATATCCAACAGGGAGGGGGGAATTTCAGGGAAAAAAAAAATATAACTCTGGTAACTCTTGCTTATCTTCTTTCTGTGGTGGATTTCCCTAAAGGTCACGATAGCCCTTTACCAATCGTGTGGCCACTCACACCACCCAAGTACACAGACTTCAAAAGTAGCAGGAGGGGGGAAATCATCTATTCCATTTTCAATTGCTATGTAGATATACCCATACTGCAACATACAACTTGGGAAAAGAGTCCGAAATATATGGGTTTGGCTGAGCTAAGCCTCCACCAACAACAGCAGTAAGGTTTGGCTGCTGTTGGCTTGGAATAAAATTTCAAACAACAAAAGAAAATGAAAAGAAAAACTCATACCACTCCAAACACTGCGTCAAAACTCCGTCCCTTTATTCCATTCGACTCTCCCTATCCATAGCTTTCTGACGATACCGATTTTGTGAAATTTGGTGGAGATTTGACTGAGAACGGGAATTCTCAGATGCAGTATACATATCTTGATTATCCATGCACAGGGAAACTTGGACCAAATAAAATGCCATAATTCCAAGACTCCTCCAATCACTTCTTTAGCATTTCTATCATTTAACTAGCCCGTATTCTCCTGGAATTTCACTGAGAGTAGCTTGCACGTGAGCATCCACATGGTTTGTATCGTCCCGTGACTCCCATCTTGCCTGATAATCAGAATATCTCCACAACCACTGAGCCGATTAGGGTGAAGTTCAACACTGAGTCTTTGGGCATTTTCCTCGATTTAATGACCCCAAGATCGTCTTCTTCCGTCAACTTTTGACCGTGTTCCCATGGTCATGGTCAAGTGCACGGACTTCACACATGAGGACATCTCAGGTTGAATTTCTCCACCAAATCTCAACCAATTCCTTCGCGGAAAGGCTCTTTCGGTTTGTACGAAAACCCTCTTTCTTCTTTCTTATTACTTCCCCCTATAATCCCTTTTTCCTAATAATGTACAAGGGCAGGAGCCCAATTTTGTCATATTTGTGGCGTAAGGTTCCATGAAATTGAGCACACCCATTATGCACTCCTACAGCATCACCACGAAACAGAACACAGGTTACACGCCTTACTACTTGTTGTATGGGCAACATCATTTGATGCCATTTGACATAACAGACTGTACATTTCAGTCATTGGACTAGCCATCAGTATATACAACAAAAGAGTTATTGGCTATGCAGATCTGCCAACTTAGCCAGCAGGAAGAATTTCTTGACTATGCAGCTACCATGCATCAGAAAATCCCCCTCAACGTTGTAACTGGGCAAGAGAGCTGCCCAGGCAAGAGAGTAGGGACCTGGGGGTAGTGTCTGAATCGGGTTGGAAGGGAGGGAAAGGAACAACAGTGCCAATACTGCGCCATGGTCTGGGTGCTAGAAAACAATCAACAAAATCTCACTAAATCAGTACTCACTCCTGGTCCTTCTTGGACAGTCGTCAGGAGTCAGAGACACTGTATAAACTCGTATGTCGCCCTCTGGCATCACTAAACTTATCAAACAACTTGTTACTTGGTGGGGGTGTCCCTTCTCATCAGGGGAGTCCTCTGTACCATACATGAAAATGTGCGCTATAAGTGAGGAATTGCAGGGCAAAGGGGAAGAATAGAAATACGCCTCTATGGCGACACAGAATAGCAAAGAAAGTGATGGATGGAAAGGAAATACAAATAAAAGCAATGAAAACAATATCAGAAACAACTTAAAATGAATGATGGAAATAGTATCCCTCCTAATCGAGCATCCAACAACCTTCTCCCGCCATTCGAATGGACTCTCCTCGCTCGTAACTTTCCAATGGTACTAATTTCATCCAAATCCATCCAGTGGTTCTTGAGATATGACTGGAATTGGGTGGCTGCTAGATTGACAAGCATGGGAATCTTGACTGTAGGGCTGGAAATGCATCGGAAAAATAGGGAAAAATAGGAAAATGGTAGAAAGGGTATTTGGGACCGTGTATGAAGTGCATCGGGTACAGGGTGCTCGTCAGGGTGTCAGAATCGCGATTTCTGGGCTTGTTTGTATGGTAGCAGAGATTCCCGCCTACAACGTTCAGACAGAATGGAGTACTCCTATCAGACCCGTCGTGAAGACAGCCATGAAAGAGATTGCTCAGAAACTCCAGTTTTCAGGAGAGGAAGAGGAGGTTTTCGAGGGGCCCACAGGGGAATGCCATCCCAGCAGCCAAGCACTAATAAGCATCCCAGATCCCCCTCTCCACCCCCCAAAGAGAGCTAAAACTGACACTGACTGCTTCGAAGAATTAGAATCCAAAATGAAATGCATGGAGGTGGCAATGAAATCCAAGCCCCCCCCTTGAGCTTCAATAGGTTGGATCATACCAGAAGTGGCTTAGCGACTGGGTACAGACCCCCCTTGGCATGGACCAGGAGTAAATCCTCCAAGTCCCATAACAGACTTTGGAGCACCACTCTGCCATGGCTCACGGATGGCCCCATCATACCCCGTCCCCCTCACCCAAGCCAGAGTCTACGGAAGACCTCACTCGGATTTCTGAAAGATTAGACAGCCTCTTGGAAAACAGCTGAGTCTTCAGGAACATGTATGACAATAGGACATGTACCATCCTTGGCATCATAGAAGAGTTGCAAGGCCATCTTAAGGTTGCCAAGCAACATCCATGTCAGAGACCAGATGTGGGACAAGGGAGACGTCCCTGTGGCGGAGGGCTTCGGTCTCAGCGACTTAGACCAGGAGCGCTGTGCCTAGTTACACGTTCGTGCCCTAATTTACTAACTGGCGATGAGAAACTAGAAGGGGGATGATTTTATCACTAGGGTGTAACCTATCTACAAGTTATGTATATATAGTTACATAGAAGGCCCATGAATGGCAGGGCCGAGTGGAGCGGAGCTAACAGAGTTACATGTTAGCTGACTGAATATTACTGACAAGTCGGGTTACAGGGTTTAGTGGAGTGGCGGGCTATAACCCAGAAATGGAAAGGAGGGATCAGCCTGAAGGTAGGCTTTGCAGGGCAAGTAACTAAATTGCCCAGCAGAGGTGGGAGTGCGCTAGCGGATGTTGGAGCTGTCCGGAGGCCTTTGGGGCTCTGTACTTAGGGAGGCATAGGTAATATATTGAATTGAGGGGGTGGTGACCATTGGGAGAGTTGGAGGTGGTTGTGGAATCTTGTCAGGGATCAGCCCCTGACCCCACTGTCAGGGCACCCAACCACACCCCAGAACCACCTTCCCAGACCTCCCCATCCCTACATACCTCTCACAACTTCAGCCCGCATGTGAGCCCGCAGGAAAAATCACGTGGGTTAAGGCGAGCAACTCGCCTTAACCCATGTGACACCTTTTCCGAGTCGCGGGAACATGCTCGGCTTCTACCCGGAGTCACGTTATGAACTGTACAGTACACTTCCTTTTTATAGTAGCCAAGCGGGGAATAGGGAAACTTACCCTTCTTCTCAACTCAATCCCCGCTTAGGCAAGTTGTAGTTACCCTCTGTAATACATGACAACTCAATCCCCGCTTAGTCCCTTCAGTGAGTTTGAGGAGCTAAGGACCGGGTCTAGCGCCCAACCACCCAGAACACCGCACACACCTAGGCCTGAGGTCGGGCTGTCCCTGATCGAGGACCGAGCCCTGACAAGCTGGCAGCCTAAGCCTCAGCTAAATGCTTATAGGCTCCACGATGCGTTGGTTCCTCTCAGCAGTCGCATTCCAAATCAGGATGACAAGGTTAGAGAGCTGGTGCTAGCAATTGAGTGCAGGAGAGGGTGAGAAATGGAGGATGCGGGAGATAGCGAGATGATGACAGCCGATCAGCACAATCCCACAGAGTAATTTTCAAAATAACTGGCCATTTAGATTACTAGAGACCATATATTGGCGTTAATAACAATAATTAAGAGATTGGAGAGAGTTTGAGCACTTTGTTAGATGATCAAAGGACTCGCCAGGTTTCATGGGGAAAAGTGGGTCACATGGGGGTGGCACACTTCAACATGGATTGCTGACCCCCACATCCTTTCCCTCCTTCTGACCTGACTCAGACACTACCCCCAGGTCCCTACTCTCTTGCCTGGGCAGCCTTCTTGCCTGGTTACAATGCCCTCCCAGCAGATGACCCACGAGGCCCATGACCTGGAAGCAGAACCTGTGCTGTTTGAAGCACTGGTGCCAGGGCATTACCAAGACTTCCGAGACATGTTCTCAAAGGAAGCCTTCGATCAGCTGCCCCCCTGAAAGCCCTGGGACCACGCTATAGACTTAGTCCCAGACACCAAACTACCCAGAGGGAAGACTTTCCCCCTCTCACAGCCGGAACAGAAGGAGTTGGACAAGTTCCTGCACAAGAACTTGCAGAACAGGCACATACAACCCTCCAAGTCCCTGATGGGGGCACCAGTCTTCTTCGTCAAGAAGAAGGATGGGTCACTATGCCTAGTCCAGGACTACCAGAAACTGAACGAGATCATGGTAAGAACTTGTACCTGCTCCTACTCATCTCGGACATTCTTGCCCACCTCCACAATGCCAAGTACTTCTCAGCTCTGGACCTACAATGGGGGTTTAACAATGTCCAGATCAAGGATGGCAATGAGTGGAAAGTGGCATTCGCAACCAATTGAGGGCTGTTTGAGCCCATGGTAATGTTCTTTGGCCTGTGTAACTCACCTGCGACCTTCCAGACCATGATGAACGACATCCTCTGGGATTTCATCAATCAGGAGGTTGTCATTTGTTACATGGATGACATCCTCATCTTCACAGCCACCCTGGAAGAACATAGGAGGGTAGTTCGAGAAGTCCTGGAAACGCTATGGAAGAGGAGGCTCTTCCTGAAGCCGGAGAAGTGTAAATTCGAATGGACACAGATTGACTACCTGGGCCTTGTAATCTCAGAGGGTAATGTCATGATGGACTCCATGAAGATCCATGGAGTCCTTGACTGGCCAACCCCAACCAAGGTGAAGGAGGTGCAGTCCTCCCTAGGGTTCGTGAACTTTTACCATTGCTTCATCAAAGACTTCTCTGAGAAAGCACACCCCCTTCATGTGTTAACCCAGAAGACCCAAACCTGGAGTTGGGGCCCAGACAAGGACTATGCCTTTCGCACCCTCAAAGAAGCCATCACCACCACCCCCATCCTCTCCTTCCCTACAGACACTGGCTGCTTCAGGCTCAAGTGTGATGCCTCTAACTTCACAACTGGTGCAGTCCTCTCCCAGCTCCAGGTGGAAGGGGAGTTCCACCCAGTAGCATTCATGTCCAAGAGTTTCATGGATGTGGAGTGTCACACCCACACAACTCTGGACCTCTGCTCCTGATTCTGGACCTCCATCTCCTCCTCCAGAACTCCACATCCTCCACCTCCTCCTCCCCCTGTTGGTTGTTGAGAGCCCACTCTACCTCTGGCTCCAACACAATGTCCAACACTACCTCCGGTCTGACTTCAGTTTACTCTGGGTCCGATCCCAACCTTGTACCTTCCAGACCAGAGCTTGTGATGCTCCACACCTCTGGCTCTGGACTCCTGTACCAGAACCCCATCGCACCTCCACCTCTGGAACTCTGGTCACATCTCCACCCCCAGACTTTGACCTCCTCCTCCATCTTATCTCCTTGTATTCTTAATTGCATTTCATTTATTATGTCTAGCCAATATTCCAGACTTTGACTTCCAACTCTGGACCTCCGGAACTTACTCCGGACCCTGCAGTCTCTACTGTATGGTGTCATTTAATCCTCTTGTTGCTTCTTCCTTATTTAGACAGCTGCTTCCTTTCCATATCAGTCAGCTGTCATTCTTCACAATCCACTCCACTCCTTCCCCTCTTGGCCTTGCCCTTTTGGGAAGCACCATAGAGTTCCAACCCTTGACCCTTGGGGTTGTTCCCTCATCCAGTCCCCCTTTGTCTCCTTCCAGTTCCCTTTGTTCCCTTTGGGTTCTATTTGTCCTCTGACTCCACTCCTGTATTGTTATATATACACTCTGTACATAGTTTCCTGTACCCCTAGTCTGAAACCGATGACTAGAGAACCAGAATCGACTGGATTGTCCCCCCAAGAGACTCCCCCTTGCTAACCTGAAATTAAGGACCACCTTAGACAACAAACCAGCAGCACAGCACTCCACTTGAGTCACTGAGGCCAAGGTCCCTCCTTACTGAGTCCCTTCTCTGCTTCTGGACAATTATGTGCTCTATGACATGGCGTATAACTACGAAGTATACAACAAGGAGATGCTTGCGATTGTCTGAGCCCTGGAAGAGTGGCGTTACTTTAGAAGGTGCTGGGGAGAAGGTCAAAATCTATACTGACCACCGTAACCTAAGTTACTTCTGGATGGCCCAGAGGCTAAACCGGTGCCAGGCCTGGTGGACCCTCTTCCTCTCCTGCTTCTACTTCACCCTTGTCCACTGCCCAGGGAAGCTCATGGGGAAGCTGGATGCACTCTCCCATCACGCTGATCACCCAAAAGGGAAGGACAACAATGAAGGGCTGACCCTCCTCCAACCAGCCTGGTTCGAGGCTCATGCAACAGAGGTGGTCTCAGTAGAAGGCAAGGAAGCAAGCATCCTAGAGAGAATACATGAGGTGAAAGTCCACGACAAGAGGGTGGTAAAGGCCATACGAGAGCTGAGGGAAGGGATGTTAAGATTGGATGAGTGGGAAAAGCAAGGAGACCTAGTCCTATACCGAGGGAGAGTGTATGTCCCAAAAGACCCTCAACTCCGTCACGATCTGGTACAACTACACCATGATGCACAGGCAACAGGGCACCCAGGGTGATGGAAAACCCTGGAACTTGTCTCCCATGACTACTGGTGGCCCCGGAGTCAGGCGGTATGTATGCAGGTGTGATACCTGCAACTGTGTCAAGTCATTCCCCTCACAAAAGGTTGGGAAGCTCACCCCAAATAAAGTCCCCACCTGTTGCTGGCAGGTGATCTCAGTGGATATGGTAGGGGAGCTCCCAGAGTCAAAGGGATACAATGCCATCCTTGTGGTAGTGGACTGCCTGTCCAAATGCATCCATGCAGTCCCCACTGTGACAACTGTAGACTCAGAAGAGAGTAGGGACCTGGGGGTAGTGTCTGAGTCGGGTCCGAAGGAGGGAAAGAATGGATGGTGGCAACAGTGCTGATACTGCGCCATGGTCCGGGTGCTAGAAAACAATCAATAAAATCTCACAAAGTCAGTACTCCCTCCTGGTCACTCTGGACTATTGTCAGGAGTCAGAGACACTGTATTATCTCATACATCACCCTCTGGCATTGAAAGAGGGCTCACAGCTCTCTACGCTGACTAAGCTTGTGGGGGCCAAACTCTCAAAACTCT